AGAGAAACTTTCTTTGTGTCTGTCACGGATACCTTAGCTAAGCGAGTTAAGAATTTGTATCTTCAAGCAACACCCTTTAACTCAACTTCTAACCGAAAGTCAGAACTTTCTTGTGCCCCACAAGAACAAGTCACCTCGCGAACAAGAGAAACACCCCGTACGTTTCGCTGCCGCACGATTTTTTACCGAGAAACTCTGCTAGTTGAAAATACCACTCGGCTTCTCAGTTGCCCCTCTCAGGGGACCCAGAAATACTTCAGCTGATTTTCTTTTGGGGCCATAAACATGGACCAAAAGGGGGAAACCAAAAGGTCAGATCTGGTCGATTCGCTTTGGTTGCAAGAATGCGATCTCCGACGGGTCCTTCATGGCTGCACCGGCCTGTGCTGGCCGAGGTTCAGTTTCGTGACAACTGCGGCCCGGCCACAATGCCCTGTTTCAGTCGAGTTCAGGCCCGGCTGACCGGATATGCTGCGATACTTTTCAGGCAGTACTAGGATAGTGCCATCGCATGCAGTAGCTGTCACCCAAAGCAACAAAAATGAAGAATCTGAAGCGGAAGCGCTGAGATGGTCAATCCGGAAGCCACTTACAGTACTGCAAGGCCAGCGTTGGCCCGCATGAACAAGCCGAAACCTCGATGCCAATTCACCGCATGAACAAACTCATCACAACCCTGGATGGCTTTCCGGCTAGTGTTCGATCTGAACCAAGATGATAATGTCCATTCTTCAACAAATAAAAGATGATACACGCAACCAAATGGGAGCACCAGTCAACCTCTCCCGGGCGTATGGGTGAAAGCGGGCCTTGGCAGTGCAGGCAAATGAGGATCGGCATCCGACACTCCGCGCACTTCCACTTCCCCTGGTACACCTCCCAGTCCTTGGAACAAAGACCTCAGCGGAGCGCGCCGACCGCGCGCTTTCGACGGAGTCGGGGAAGCCCAACTTTGCTGCTGGAGCTCAGAAGAACAAACCAGCGAGACTTAGGGATGGGGTAAGGAAAAGGCCCAGGAAGGTGTCTGGGGGCAACGGAAAATTCTCCCCATGGCTCATGGCTTTAGCTTCTCAAAGCCAATCGCTGAAAAATCCCAGGCGCAGCAGCTACCCAAGACTTGGTGCGGGCCCTCCTCTGCCTGTCGGGTGCGCGCCACGAGAATGGCCAGCACTGGAGGAGCACTCGAAGTCACGTGGTGTGTGTGTGTATCTTTCGAGGGGTGCCTTTTTCGGGGTTCTTGTAAACAGAAACCAGCCGCATTTCGGTTCTCCCACTTGGATATCTCAACTGAGGGCCGGTGGGGGAGGGTTTGCCAAGACATGCGATCGCTTCCAAGCCACAAGCCCCCAAAATACCTTGGAGAGGGACGGATGCGCTCCGAGAGGTGTCAGTATTTGTCCAGTTCGTTGCACCAAGCTTCTTGGCTGTGTTTCGGTGTCTCTCTACGGGGTGACAGCAAGTGACAGCTGACCTCAACCTTTCTTCCGGAAGTGAATCGCATTGATCTTCATGTGCATGGAGCTCTTGCATAGG